TTCCAGAATCCCATAGAACTTTTTAGTTTAATTCATTTACAGTCACTTTTAAATTTTTTTTTTTTTTCAACGTTTATTTATTTTGGGACAGAGAGAGACAGAGCATGAACGGGGGAGGGGCAGAGAGAGAGGGAGACACAGAATCGGAAACAGGCTCCAGGCTCTGAGCCATCAGCCCAGAGCCCGACGCGGGGCTCGAACTCACGGACCGCGAGATCGTGACCTGGCTGAAGTCGGACGCTTAACCGACTGCGCCACCCAGGCGCCCCTACAGTCACTTTTAAAAAGTACCTGATTATTATGAAAAATTTCAAATATACACAAAACTGAAAAGCAGCATAATGGTCCCACGTGCTTATCACTCAGCTTTGACAGTTTTCGATATAAGAGTTTGCTTCACCTATTTTAAAGCAAATCCCAGACACTGTATCATTTCATTCTTAAATACTTCAGTTAGGGATTAGCTTCTAAATAAACATCTCTGCCCTGGAAAGGGTCAACTCTGAAGGCAGAGTGTCCCTGTATTCAAGCAGAGGCAGGACAGTGGTTAGGAGGGCACTCGGGCTCTGGAATCAGACGGACTGGGTCCAAAGCCTGCTCCGGCACTTGCTAGGGAATATCCTGGGCCTCAGTTCTCTTATCTGTAAAACGGGGCTCATGTTAGACCTTCTCTCCCAGAGTTGTTACGAAGAGTAAGTAAGATATGTTTAAATGGCTTGAACGGGGCCTGGAACACATGAAATTTCTGCTATTACTAACATTCTGAGAAATATTTCCACTTAGTACACAAACACTGGGATTTTGGAATAATTAGGTTCGCTCTCAAACAATTTATTCACTTAAAGGAAAAATATATACAATTTTAGAAGAAATATTTATTGTTCTACATGTATTGTTTGTAATAGGTTAGCAAACATCACTTGATATTCAAGGATCTCAAGGCTTTTTACAGCTTGTATTACTCTCACTTTACTTCTAGGAAAATGGAGGCATACCATCAGGTGACTCATACAGGTACTGAAATAAAGGACATCAGATCATACCACAGCTCTGGCTTTTTCATGTCTGAGGGGTGTAATTATTTGTTTGTATTTGGTGCTTTTGACAATTGTGGCACACTTGACAAAATAACTGCTGACAGTTCAGAAGGACATACGATTAAATACACACTTGAAAATAAAATTAAAATTAAAGATAAAGACAACACTTAAAAATTAGCATTTAAAGGGGCGCCTGGGTGGCGCAGTTGGTTAAGCGTCCGACTTCAGCCAGGTCACGATCTCGCGGTCCGTGAGTTCGAGCCCCGCGTCAGGCTCTGGGCTGATGGCTCAGAACCTGGAGCCTGTTTCCGATTCTGTGTCTCCCTCTCTCTCTGCCCCTCCCCCGTTCATGCTCTGTCTCTCTCTGTCCCAAAAATAAACGTTGAAAAAAAAAAAATTAAAAAAAAAATAAATAAATAAAAAGGGCAGATGAATATTCTTTCTAAAAATTCTTTGATATGACTAAAGTAAGGGGTCAGAAAATGGAGTAAAAATAATTCCCTTAGTATAAATGAAGAACAAAATGGCAGAAAGAGTCAAAATCCTCCAGAAAGAAGCTTCAATGATTTGAATATTCAGTGAGGCAAGGAGACCTGAGCCAGCTCCCGCAGTATACACCCGCAGCTACACATGCACAGGTACACACGTACCAGAAGGGAGCGTGACTTATGGAGTGAGGAGGCTGTGGAGAGAATCAGGGCAGGTCTTTGAAGGACGGAAGAGGTAGTGTTGTAAACCGACCCTCCCCCACCAAAAGAATTAATCCTAAAGTAAAACTTTGAATACAAAACCACTCACGTGCAAATGTTAAATGCACTAAAAAAGAAACCTTCAAGATATGTAGGAAAATGACAGACGCACTGTGAGGCCAAGGACATGTGCGAACGCCTTTCCAACGCACATCTGTGCAAGACTCAAGTGACACATGCACGACAGAAGGTCCTGCACGAGGCATTCCTTTCCATTTAGTGAAGACGGCACAAAGAGTCTTCTGTTTGAACAGAGATATAATTACCTCCTCACAAAGTAAGACAGGCCAATGGTAACTAGAAACAAAGCAGCTGTCAGAAAGTTCTGTTCCTTCTTGGAAACAGAGGTTAATTCCTCTTCCCCGTTTAAAGCAGAACAAAGTTGACTTTCTGCTAAGTCACAAAATATTTAATTTCAATTTAAAGCGTCTTTGGAAGGTGCTCTTCCCAATGAATTTGAAAAGAAGAGTTAGTTCGGATGGGAGGAAAAGATTTTTGGTATCTATTTTATTACACAACATCAAGGTAATGATAAAAAATCCTTTTCTTTATAGGATCAGTTATGTTCAACTGTTAATTTCCTAGGAACTCAAAATTATGTGGTATTTAAGGTTTAAACTACAGAATTTAGATTCAGATAATTAAATGTAGATATATCTAAAGCATCTTTCTGAAATTGATATAGATTTTGTTTACGTGGTCTATTTAGGGTGGCAAGTTATTAATGTGCAGAAGCAGTATGTGTTGGTTAAGTATGTTCTACAGCCCTTCAGAAGGCCATCGATGTGACATCTTCAGAGGATATGGTAGTCTCCTGAGTTTACCTCATCTAAAATGTCTTGGTAAGAGTGCAGGCTAGCTCAGTCACTCAAGTAGGAGACTCTTCAAACGTCCCTGTAAGTACGGCACTAAATCAGGAAATACGGGTTGGGGTGTGGGGGGCGGGGAGGGGAGGACACCTCTGTACTTTTCACACATGTTTCTGGGGATCCAAAAGTAAAGGCCTTACTGCCTTACTAAAAGGACATAGATGATAAATATTTAGGAGACACAACACAAACTTTTAACATACGTATTTCAAGAGTATGAAAAATTTTAGTAACTTATAAAGTGTAGCTGAAATGTAAAGTCGTAACGCTGAATATGGCTCACTTCTGGTTGTAGGATACACATACAGTATTTGAGAAAAACATACAGAAAACTTTTGTGGAAAAGTGATATGGATTAGACCTTCCTCTATTATGTTATAGGGTCACCCTGAAGGCTTGGACAAAAACCTCCCTTTTAGAAACATAGGATTTGGCCTATGTAAGCTATAACCAAAAGGAGTTTTTCTTTAGAGGTCCAGATGAACCATTTTAATGATCTTGGTTTGGTTATTAAGAACCTAAACATGTGCACTGTCACAAAACTATTTCAAAGACCAAGTTTTTCGAGAACTGGTATTACACCCACGTGCGCCGCTCTGCACACACAGAAAGCAGGCCCAGTGTTCGGAGGTGATGAAGGAAGAGAGGGTAGGGTCTTACCTTTCTTACCATCACTCAAAATAAGGCTTACATAATGGTTTCGTTACTACTGTTATTTTTGTTCTGGAGTGCTGTTTGTTAACAGTGTTACAGTGAATACAAAAAGCTTAAAGAATGAGCGCAGATGGGGAAACTATGCACCCTCCTCAAAAGACAATCTGAAAATCTACGCGAATAAACAAGGAATACCAACAAGTTTTATACACTCAAGAGCTTTCTACTGGAGCCAACCTCTCATCAGGGCCAAAGTTCACTGAAATGGAAAAATACCCCAATACCCTCAAACATAAATTTATGTTGTTTATTTAGGTTAGGTTTTAACCAGACTATCTAGTTTAGCCAGGCAATTGCATGCATTCTTTTATTTTAGGATATCTACTCTTACACTGAGTTTTTAATCAATTTATTTTAATAACCCAGTTGTAAACAGAAAATTGTTAAGATGGATTTGAAGTCTCTTACTGAGATGTATCTTGCATATAAAAGCAAAAACATAGAAAAATTCTGTTGTGAACTCAGTCTTTTTTTTTTTTTTTTGGAGAAAGGTTTTTTTCTACTAATGATGTCACAAAAGAGGATAGGATAGAAAGGTCTCTTCCACCGTCAACCAAATCAAGGCACTTAAAAAAAAATACAGTATGGGGCGCCTGGCTGGCTCAGTCGGTAGAGCGTGTGACTCTTGATCTTGGGGTTGTGAGTTCCAGCCCCACACTGGGCGCACTTACTTAAAAAAAACAAAAAAACAAAACCATAGTTAAAAAGAAAAAAAAAAGTATTAAATCTGGGTTTATTTGTTTGGTTTATTGGATGAATAACCTTTTCCTCTATTTGCCAAGAGCTTTAAAATAAGAAAACTGAAAAGAAAAAATTATTTATAAAAAGATAAAAGAGTTATGATCACATAGGATTTCTTCCCTTTCTACTTAGTAATAGAAATTTTTTTAGTCAAATTTAATCATTTATTTAAGGCTGTTATTGCTAGTATTAAAAACCTGACAACACTCCTGTTGTTTTTCATCTTTGGAATAAAGGTGTGCCAGTAACATGGCCAGTGTCTGATACCAACAAAAAAGGCTAGTTCTTGATGGTCCGAAATACGATCAGTTTCAGTATTTACACTGATGACCCTGTAGGACTTGCTCTACTCAAAGGAAATGCTTACACATTTTGAGAAAACCGAAACATAAAAGCGAAAACCAAAACCATAACAAACACCAAAGCTGAAAGTACACCAAACAAAAACACAATTCCTGAAGTGGGCAGCTATTTTAACTACCACAAGGTGTATGCATGAGACACAGCTTTACTGAGGTACACAATAAACTGCACATATTTAAAATGTATAATTTGGTAAGTTCTGATAGAAGTACACAGCCACAAACTATCACAATTGAGACAAGAAGTATATAGTCAACTGGGGCATCGCTTTGGAATGCCCCCTCTCTGTAAAGAGAGCTTTCATACTATTCTTACTTTGTGATCTTATCTTAGGCTAGAATAAACTTTTGCCTGCTGCTCATTAAAAAAAAAAAAAAGTAGTATATAGTTAATTGAGTACAGGAACAGTATTTCTTTTCTTTCTTTCTTTTTTTTTTTTTTAAAGTAGGCTCCACACCCAGTGTGGAGTCCAAAGCTAGCCTTGAACTCATCACCCTGAGAGCAAGCCCTGAGCTGAGATCAAGAGTACAACCGCCAACCGACTGAGCCACCCAGGCGCCCCCAGGAACACTATTTCTATCACGTAAGTGAGAAGACAGTATATATACCATACAGTATATATATTGTAGTAACCAGTATAAATAGAATATCCATACAAGATTAAATCAGTTGTCAAAATTAAATAAAATGGCACGAAAATCATGATTTATTTTGATAAATGTTCATAAAGACTGTTAAAAACCACAGTGACTTTAGACGATTAAAGCTAAGAGGGGAGAAGTACCTAAGTAATGATTCAATGGTCTAAATGTTCTAACGTATTTTTCTTTCTAAAAAAAAACAAAAACAAAAAACAAAACAAAAAACTGCACACAACAAATTTATTAGATGTGGAAAGAAAAATAAAAATAAGCACTAGGTCTGATAGCATTTTGGTTGCAATTTGTTCACGAGTGTGAACTTGCAAGGAAGGGATTCTTATTTTCCTTTTACCCTATAAAGCAGTTCCTCAGACTAGGTAATCTAACTGCAAGTTAAAAAGAACAATGTGTTAAGCATCAGAAAAGCGACCAATTTAACCAAATTTAGCAGCGTGCGCACTCACAATCTTTTTCTTTCTGTAGAAATTTGTGCACACTCAAGCTGTGCTGCATCTAAACCTATCCACACAGTAGTTTCTAAACTTAAGCCATAGAGCCAGACGCGTTTCCCACTTGCATAAAAATCACGTATTTCAACACTCAGATCAAAAGTTAAGTTTAAAATCATATCGTTAAAAATCTTAAAAGTTCCGTGGAATCAGAAAACATTCCTCTGGCTTAAGTTTTCTTTCGGTCTTACCTCTTGTTCTCTGAAGGACTGATTACTAACATCCAGGACTCGGATAGTCCTTTTAATAGGCAGCAGACCTCCAATCTCATCATGAGCCACCATGCTTTCCCAAGTATCCCCTAAAACCTCTGGAGTTAATCCACATGCGAGCGAGCCCTACAGCGAAGCCCTACTCCGGCACACAGGCTGGTCCTCCGAGTGCTCGGCACCCCCAGGCAGCCATCTGCCCAGGCCCGTCCCGGCGGTGGAGACGACTGCTTCTGCCAGCGGCACCGAGCAGGCGCCCGGACCTCCAGGCTCCGGGGGCGGGGCCCACCGCGGACCGGCTCCGGTGGGCGGGCACCTACGGCCACGTGACCCCAGTTAACTGACTGCTGGGCGCACCTAGGCTTCTCCCTTTTCTCTGCGCAGGAGAGAGCTTTCTAAGAGGTTGGGAATTTCTCCAGTAAGACGGGAAGGTTCAAGGAAACTGGGTTAATGGAAGGCTTTTCCTGATTTAAAAAGCATCCCGGAAGGGCAACTAATTGCTGATCTACGTTACCTACTCTAGGACTTAGCCACAGACAGGGATATTTTTCATGTAAACCCTATTTCCTAGAAAGGAATTCAGTATGGACAACTTGACGACTTCAAGTAAGAAAACTGTAATTCAGAGTTAAGTGCATATACCAAAGAAAAGCCTGACTATTCAGGGTCCTTTTAGTGCAAGCATATTCAAAACTGTGAGATTAAGCTTTTCCACCAGTTGCCACCATTTTTTGTTAAGACTGGCAGTGAGCACACTTCAGTTCATTCCGTTCCTAACGTAACTCTTCCACAGGGCGATGGGTAAAGAACTGGGCCACCAAAGATGTTAAAGTTCAGCATTTCTCAGACTTGGAGGCAGATATTTTTTTTCTGTTATGTTTTAAAAACTTTGTATCTGTGTAACATGTTTTCTAACATAAATACAAAAAAAAAAGGTGATTTCGTTCTAATAGCAGGGTCCTTCTCTATTCTGAATTAACTGATCTTGATATAGTCCTAAAAGAATCACAAGACTGGGGAACCTGGGTGGCTCAGGGGTTAAGCGTCAGACTTCGGCTCAGGTCATGTTCTCCTGGTTCATGAGTTCGAGCCCCGCGTCGGGCTCTGTGCTGGCACCTCAGAGCCTGGATCCTGCTTCAGATTCTGTGTCTCCCTCTCTCTCTGCCCCTCCCCTGCTCACACTCTGTCTTTCTCTTTCTCAGAAATAAACATTTAAAGAAATTTAAAAAACTCACGAGAGCTACTTAAAATGTCTTGCACCTTACAGACAGAGCAAGGAGGTTCGCAGAGGTGAATTAACTTGCCCTAAGTCACGTGCCAGTGACAGTCTCCAACTCTGTAGTCGAAATCCTTTCCTCTGGGGAAAAGCACTGCTTATGATGGTTTGGTAGGTGTGCTAAGAAGATTTTCTTCCTCAACAGAAAGCACTGTATTCTATCTTGAAAGGTAGGATTTTATCTTAACTAGATGCTACTATGAAGATGATGCCAGTGATTTGCAAAAAAAAAAAAAAAAAAAAAAAAAAAAAAAAAAAAAAAAAAAAAAAAAAAAAATTCTATTCTTAGGATTTATTAGGACGAGAGAAGTCTGAGAAATCGATGTGGAAGGCACTATTTTAGATTATGTGGGGGATACAAAAAGTAGGTTTCACATCTGCTCTAAAGTACTAGCAGACCATTATGTAAAACTAGCCTACACAAAGAGATAAGTAATAAAAGCTTGCGAAAATTTCGAAGTGGTACAGTTAGCTGGTAAGTGCCACGGAGTTCAGGAGAATCACTTCTGGCAGTTTTCCGGGGGGAGAGGGGGCTGGGAAAGATGCTACAGGAGAGGCTGTAAGATGTTACTTGAGTGGTACCTGGAAGGCCATGTTATGTTCTTCCCAGGTCCAGGTAAGGGAAAAGTGCAAGGCTTTCCCAAAAGAGCATGAAGGAGTGAGCACCCAGACTGTGGTCACGGGCTGTGGGTAAACAGGGATGAGCAGAGGATTTTACTGAGTAGGTGACAGATACTGAAAGTTAAATTGTAAGCTGGCGTTTCAGAGGCTTTGAAAGATGACTGGACACATAATGCAAAAAGCACAATCCAGTATCAAGAACTTGGCGCTAAGGCAGGGACAGTGGGAAAGGAAAAGGGTATGTCGCATAAGTCAGAGGTGCCTACAGTTTTAAAGTTAGGAGGGGTAACAGTTAATGCATATAAAGAAATGAGGAAGAATGAGCTCTGAAAGAGAATTCAGACTTTCATTTTAGATCTGAGTCTGAGGTGGGGCAAGAAATGAAAAAAGTGAGCTAGGACTTGGAACTGCTGGACAAGGACTTGGAAGAGGCCAGAGGGCAGATTTAGCCTGGGGAGTCACATACACAGGGATCAGAGTGGAAGCTATGGGTGAATGAGATGCTTGGGAGAAAAAATCTGGACAAAAAGAACAAGGGCCCAAGGATCCAACTTTGGAGAAATGCCAAGGGAAGAAGACTTTTGCAAAAGGAAAAGTCAGCAGAAAAGAAACATAACAAGATGCCAGCAGACGAAAAGGTGTTCATTGAGCAAAAAGGTTAACAAGGGTAAGAAAAGACTCATGGATTTGGTACTGACGTGTTTAATGAGGACCTCGAGTGTGCTGGTTCAGTGGGCTGAGGACAGGAGATCAATTACAGAGGCTGAAGAGTGAAGAGAGCAGAAGAAATAGTCGGCACAGACCACGTATGATGACAATCTGCAGAAAACAACCCACGAAGGGCTGCAGGAGGCATCAGTGCTGGTCTTCTCTCTGCAAACACCAATGTAATTTGTGTTCAAGATGATGATAATTCATCTTTTGGCTCTGAGCCTTTTTAAAAAACTAATGGTGACTGCGAATATTTCGCCGCCTACCCTTCGTTACCTGACCCCCTGATCACGCGTGTGGGTGACGTAGCTGGCCTCGGGAGCGGCTGTGCAGACAGCACCATGCAGCATGAAAGTGGAACACCGAGTGATTGTGGGCAACACGCACCTGCTCGAGCTCTCAGAGCTAGAGAGGGGCCAGGCTAGAACCCAGCAGTCTGGTTTCGTTGGCTACGTTGGCCCAAAAATGATGCAAGCGAGGCCAAAACTTGATGGTCACTGAGCCTCATAAGGGGATACGGGGCTTGCACACAGCTGACAGTTAGGAAAGAAGCTGCGAGGGTGATCTCATGGTCTCTTCCCTGACATCTTTCTCCACTGTTTTTCTGTCTAGTTCTGACAGAGGTAAGGCCAAGATAATGAGAAGAGATTCCTCTCATTTCTCTCCTGCAGCTGAGGACCCAAGATATAAAGGGAGAAGTCTCATAAATGTAAAAATAGAAAGCCTACAGGAGCCAAATGGGAGTTAACGGTGACAGTCACAGCACAAAAATCCCAGCTCACCAACTCTAAAATCTTTGTTTCATTTCGAATGTTCAGGGTTGTGATCTAAATATAACTTAGACAACTGTAGATAGCATCTAAAAAAGCAACAATGAACACGAGATGTTCGACACGCGCCGAGTGATGAGCCAGAGAGACTCTGGACTCTAACAATGCTCCCCGAAATCAGAGGGCTGAAAAGGTCCTTTGAGATCATTGACTCATCCTCCTCAGTTTTTTTAGGAGGAAACTGCAGAATGGCAGTGAAACAAGAGAAGGGAAACTTGTGTCCTTACTCCGTGCCAGGAGTTTCCTGCATAATCTTACCTCGCCAGCTTTATGAAGTATGTGTTATGAGCACCATTTTACAGATGGAGGAAGCCGGGACTCTGACAGTTTCGAAACTTGCCCAAAGTTGCAGAGTTAATCAATGGCTGGACAGGCTTGAAACTGGTCTCGCAGCTCCTGTCACCCACTTTCCAGGTGAGACTGGAAATGTCCTGCCACGAGCACACGTGTGGTACACGCTGCATGTAAGGCCGGAACTGGTCGTCCTCTGGGAGCTGGGCAACTAGTCCCAGGCGATGTTTGTGATATAAATGTCAACATTTTACAGAGAAGGAAATCATAAAACAATTGAGACATTATTTGCCTTAGAGCCTTTTTATAACAAGGCAGGCAAGTAAAAAGACAGCAAAATAGTTCCAGTTGCTTAAGTTTTAGAAGAGATCCTATTTCAACTGTTTCATAATGTTATTAGGATCTTATTAAAGTATGATTTAAAAAAAAATTTTTTTAAATGTTTCTTTATTTTTGAGACAGAGAGAGACAGAGCATGCATGGGGGAGGGTCAGAGAAAGGGAGACACAGAATCTGAAGCAGGCTCCAGGCTCCGAGCTTTCAGCACAGAGCCCGATGCGGGGCTTGAACTCATGGACTGTGAGATCATGACCTGAGCTGAAGTTGGATGCTTAACCGACTGAGCCACCCAGGCGCCCAAAGTATGATTTATAAATACTACATATCACGTAACTGAAGCACAGATTGGTTAAGTGTCTTTTCTTTGTGTGGAAAATCTAGAATTTATAAACTTAAAAACTGAGTTTTCTAGAAATAATAATGCAGCTTTGTAACAGATATCAGTTTTTAATGAGAATACAGGTTTCTACAGACCAGTTATAATTATAAGCTCTGTTCTCCTGCCTGTAGGCAGCCTTCAATGCTTTCTTTCCTAAAATATGAAGAAGGTAAAGAGAAAGATAACATTGCTTCCCTTGTATAGAAAAAGGCTACTTACCTTTTTTCCTCCTTTTCATGTGAAATCAGAATTCTGGAATTTAGATTAATTACAGCTGAAGAATAATCATTACTTTTTTTGGGTCTAGATATTATTTGTTTTCACTTACTTTTGTCTGGAATAATAACCAGCAATTGGAAATTAGGCCAGGAAAGCCATATTATGGGAAAGAGAAAACAATAGCTTAGCTCTCTGCTGCCCTCTGCATGGGATATCGTGAAATGCAACTGCCAACCCACTTGTTTTTTCAGCTTTTTAATTATGTTTGTAAACACCTTCTATAGATGCCTACATAAACAATCTTATCTGTAAATAAATACGGTAACAGTACAATTTGTTTCTTCAGCCCGTAGCTCTCATGTTTTATGTTACTAAATTAAATGCGTTTAAAAGTCATTTAAGTGTATGG